GCAAACCTATTTGCAAACCTGTTTCAAAGGCATTTGCAAGTTCTTGATGAAGAAGGAAAACACCCAGGCGCACAAAGACATCACGCAAGAAACATGAAGCCTTTCTTTTTCAAACGCCCGCTCTCTTCTTGGGAATATCTGAATAGGCTTGCGCATCCCATGCGCCAACAGCACACTGCAGAGTTTCAGGCTGCAGCCCGCAGACCAACATGCCGTTTCAGAACCACGGGCCAGGGTTTAGGGTTTAGGGTCAAGCATGGTAAAGCAGTGCTGCGTTGATTTCAGGAATGTTAAGCCGAAAGAGGAGGACTTGGGAATCATGGGCGCGGCAATCCTCAAGCAGGCTGGAGACACAGACCAGGGGTTGTGGAAGTGGATACATAGCATGATATGTGGGGATTGAAGGCCATTTCTAAACGCTTTGGCTGCAGACGTCGCAGAAACGCAGAATGCACGTCAACTGCACGCCAACAGCAAGTCAAGGCAACAACTTAAAGATTCAGCTACAAGGCAAAGAGACTGGCAAAGTCAAGTGACAGTCTGGATATCAGTTCCAGATCATACAGGACCGACGTGTCAAAGTCGTGGCGCTGAAGCGGACCTACGCGACAGAATTGCGAGCCCCATCACAGGCAGGTCTAGCAAGACAGCGCGGGTCATCTCAGCATACTCGTTTCATGAAGAGCAAGACCACTGCTTGTGCTCATTTCTTGGCAGGGAAGTCAAATTTAGTCAACGTTCTGCTCCTGTGGCAGGCCATGGAGGTTATTGCTGGACGGCCGAGATCTCCGCTGATGCGTCTCGACTTGCTACGTAGAAATGTCCCCAATTCTTCGGGCAGACGCGCAATGAAGCTTTGAATAGAATCTTTTCTCGCAGCAGTTGTGTGCGCTCTGACAGGACCACGCACATGGAGTTTGGAGTTCGGATGGTCATTGACCTTGACGCCTGCTTCTTCTCTCCACGCTTGGCCAGTGAGCGACAGCGCCTTTGCCAAGAGGTGCAGAAGGATGAACGCATACTAGTGGCTTTTGCCGGCTGCGGCCCGGAAGTCCTTCAGCTGCTCTCTCATACCGAAGCTGCAGAGGTCGTGGCTGTAGAGCTAAATGCAGCTGCAGTAAAATGCCTCCGCCGAAGCTTGGAGATGATGCACCTTTCCAGTTCAGATGATGTGAGTTATGGGCGGGCCTCTGTTATGGAAGGTGACGTCCGACAGGTAGCCCGAACCCTTCCGCAGCAACATTATCACCGTATCCTGGCACCCAGACCCAAAAATCCAGGAGATGGTGATCTTGACCTGGGGGATGGGGGCCAGGAGTTCCTAGATGCCCTTCTACCACTTCTTCGGGATAACGGGACCTGTTACTGGTACGACTTTGCCGCAGACTGGGAGCTACCCGCCTGCGAGCGAACTCGCAAGATACTTCAGGATGCCTGCGCTCGCCACCACCGAGAATGCCACGTGGCACGTGTGGCTGCTGCAAATCGCCGGACCATTGCTGAGCGCCAGTATCGGGTGGTGGCAGACTTTCAGGTGTCCCGTGCCAGTCCGAACGGGCGGTGAGAAAAGTGAAGGAAGTACAGGGGGAATTCTGCGCCTTTGCTTTGCAGCTGGTTCGTCTTTCAAAGTAGAGTTTTTGCAACAAAGACCTGTTAAGCACTCACTCAGGAATGTGGACGCCAGCAACATGGCTGCATGTGTGTTTGATAGACTGCTAGGCCTAATACCCGGATTCTGGATCCTGTGGCAGTGAAACTGCTGGCGCACATGCCGGGTTGCCCCGCGAACTTGTGAGGAGCTAACCCCCTTTTGAAGCTGGAAGAAGCGCCACTACAATTCCAAATGGCACCTCCAAAACGGGCATGACTTCCAGAAGCCCACAAACCGTGAGCTAATACTTATCGCGATCCCAGAAGAGAGGAGAATAAGCTACTCTCCTGTGGATCCTTGTGCTTCCTATGGCCAACCGTATCTACCGTGGTTCTGTAATGACACTAGCTATTTCTCGCGGGCTGCAAGCTGTAAGGCGATCTTCCCGACAATTTCTGCTGCGCTGACCTGGGGAGATGCTGCGGTCAGGACGATGAGGCTACAACCTCATAGGTATTGGTGCAGATTAGCTTGTTTCGTTGCGTGCCCATTTGTATAAAGGGCTAGCCTGCACTATAGTGACAGCAGCCATGGAGCAATCTCTTGGTGACCAATGTGCAAAGGCCAGGAACAAGGGCTTGCAGCTGCTGCAGTCAACCGCATTATTACGTGACATCCCTAAACAGCGAAGTTGGTTATCTGACATGTTCATCTTTGAGCCCTAATCCCCCCAGCCACCCCAGAAACCGCAACGCCACAGACCTCGAACTGCAAACCCCAGCCCTGCAGTTGAAACTCAGAATCCTAAACCCTAAGCCCCTGTATCTATACGCTTTTTGAGAAGGGTGGTAGGCATTAAAGCTTCTTTCTATTCAAGAATGCCCAGCGCTGAAGTGTACACCCGTGCTGCCAGAGCCAAACTCCCGTCTGAATTCTCAGCGTGTCCCAGCTTAGGATGATGTACGAGGTATGCAGCTCATCACAAACTGAAGTTCATCATCCAGTAGTATTCAGCTCGGCTCACAAAGACCGCCTACGTAATAACCAGGGTCTTCGTTGGGGCATGCTGCTTCCGTGCTGGATAGAGGTCATGTCTACACAATACATCCCAGACCTTTACTCTATCCCGGACCACTCCGCCCTAGGACCCTACCATAAGTATGCACTGATAGCCCGAAAGTTGATAGACCCAGTGACTCACGGGCAAGGCCCTATAGCAATACAAACCTTAAAGCTGCAAGTGAAAGGAAGATCTCGCTGTGGATGATGAAGATGACAAGGGCGAGGAGGAAATGGCAGAGGAAGAGCCTGAGGAGGAGATTGGCTTCATGAGCTAGGCTAAGGGCCTAGATATATGGCTAGTTCCCGAAGTTAGTGTCCCATTCTGAGATCACTCAAATTTAGGGAGGTTTAGCGTTTAGGGCGGGTCTTATATAAGGAGGGATGGGCATGACATGGATACAACTGTGTTAGGAGATTACTTCAAGAATGGAGAATCCTATGAACACGAAAATGGAATATGAATTGGAGAGAGAGAGAGAGAGAGTATAAAGGGATTCAAAATACGCTTTACGGGTTAGGGTTTACGGTGGAAAATGAAATTGAAATTGGGTGTATGGGGATTGTCCAGTGCAATTCCCTTATAGTACTTCTATGGTTATCGTACAACTATCTGCCCAACATGTGGAAACCCTATTCCAATTGTTTGGGCCCCTGCGCTACCCAATTTCCCCACGGTTCATGTTAAACACCTTCAATATTCCCATGTATGCCTGCAATTTGTAAGGGCCTTTCATTTTCAGACACCCACACGTGGGTAAGCTGCACAAGGACATTCCCAATATGTCCTAATCGTAATAACGATACCCGTCGACACGGTCGCTTTGATCGTCGTCGCAGTACAAGTCTAGCATAGTATCACACAGACAGTGTGGACACGCAGCTTTAGAAGCAGCGGAGGTCCATAAAAGTAGTCGTTAGGATCTTCGAGCTTCACTTTTAGAGGGTCCGAGTAGCATTCCACAAGGCTTTGCAAGCAGCCAATTTCACTTTGCCTTCCCATGAGGAGGTTTTTGTTGCCGTTTGTGAAGCCTGCGGCGCCAGGGGCCCAGCTGTGCATGCCAGAACGGGGAAACTCTGGAGCTACCGAATATGAGAAGGTCTGACCAACAGGAATCTACAGATTCTATGTACCCTTTTGGGGCCGTTTTGGAAGCAATCCTAGCTTGTTAGTCAGGACTTGAAAGCTGTACCGCACAACTCCGAGGCAACGCACATCGCCAGAATCGACTTCATCGGCTTGGGCCTGGACTTCAACTGCAGCATGGTGGGTGAATTGTCTGGCGCTTAGCTCGGGTGCAGGCTGTCCTTCTAAATATACCATAAGTGAGCTGCCGTAGCAAAGGACTGAGCGACACAGCACTAGAACCTGCAAGATTTTCAGATGCTCCATCAAGCCTGAATCAAATCTGAAGCCTATCTTTGGCGCCTGGGAATACTGGGAAAGGGAACAGGGTCTCGCTGCAGGTGCGAAGGTGAGGAGGCAGCTGCACCAAAAGCCTCTGCAAGTTCTACTGGCACTGCTCCTGTGCTTCCGCCTCGACGCTGGGAGAGCATGGCCGACAGTCTTCCCTGTGCAAGGAGCCTTGCTAGAACTGCCTGTTCTAAGGATCGCAGCTCCACCAACTCTCCGCAGAAGAGAAGAAGGACTTGTTTGCAAGGCCCGGGACGGGACGATCAGCCTGACGACGGTGCCGTCTTCTGTGTCGCAAGCCCCAGCACTACAACATAAAAGCAGGTACGCTGTGCAAAGACAAGAGGAGAAGCTGTCGAAGAACCTTCGCTGGCAGCCAATTTTGAGCTCATTCTTGCAGCGAATGGGACTTTTTGCAGGAGCTTGCAATCTTGCAGATCTTGCGCGCTTGCCCGGCTAGGTGCACAGGAGTCTGTGATTTTTTCCGAAGACAGATGGATCCGGCAAAATACCTGACTTGGTCCTTCCTGCACTGAGCCGAGGAAAACAAAGAACCTCTTTGCGGGGGTGCGCCAGCTTGCAGACCGCAAGGGCCAGCAAGAAAGATTCCGTGACAACAGCGAAGCTGTGCCGCATTTGCCGCATGGGAACAGCCTTGACTTCCGAGTTCAGCCAAACCCGCCAAAGAGGCATGCCTGTTGATAGCTTTGCTTCTTCAAGCATGGCAGCACAAGGTAGTTACCCGCAAGGGCGAGCGCTTCATCAAGGCCAGGCGTATGTACAATTGTTCCGAGACACCTCTTCTTAAGCTGGTCTGCTCATGCCAGTAGGGGCTCCCTAGTCTGTTTCGAGCCTATAGCCCAAAAGAGCAAAATGGGGGTAGTTTGAAGAGAACTCGCACAAGACGGCTTGTGTCGCCAGATCGACATTTCGCTGGACCCTGGCCCCGGTTGTGAGATCGGAGGCTGGGCACGGCATGTGTGTCTGCAAGTTTTTCCCTATACTGCGTGCTGGCAATCTGGAGGTGGCTGTGGGGAAGGATTCTGAGTAGACTCTGAATTGGTTCTCCTTTTTAATCAGTCTGCATATCATAAACGGTATTCGCTTTTTGCATGGAAGCAGCTATAGGCATCCTCGGCTGGCGGTCCAAACAAGGCCGACGTGGGCTAGGCCGGATACTGGTATTTGTTGATTGCCTTTGCCATGCTTTGCTCAATCTGTCTACCTGTTTGTCGGTCTATCTGCCTGTCTGCTTGTCTGTCTGTCACTGGAGGCATTCTTGGGTAGGATTACCAGGGTGAATGCAAGACTTGCGGGCAGGCTGCAATATGCAAGCAGGCTGCCTTTCCAGCTGACAACTAGGAACCAGTTGCCTTAAAGGGTAAATAGTTCACCTTGACGCATGGCGATTGGCAATGGGCCATGGATGTTATCATGATCGAGCCAGCACCGAAGTCAAAGCTGCATGACTCGATGCTTGTTCGTCGGCCCTGCATAGAAGCAGCAGCTGACCGAAGTTGTTTTCTCGTAGCGATCTGCATTTTGCAGCACCCGCAGCACCCCGTGTCCAAAAATTGCGGCAAAGACTAATACAGCTAACCTCCACCTGTCGAGTAGATCGCCTGTGCTCCAGGTATCAAGAAGATGACAAAGGAAGAGGCCGACAGAATTTGCATCAGCAACAAGAACCGAACCCACACGATTCTTGGTCCAACTTGAGCCCAGCATCTGAAACGCCTCACGTCCTGTTGCATTGCCGAACCTCTGCGCAAGCAGCAAGCCTGAGTATTGCCAGAGCACCTCATGATGCAATGTTGCAAGAACAGATGTGGCGGACTCAGGAAGAAAGCTTCGGGAGTCGGCGGCAAGAACATCGTCTTTGAAAACAAGTGCCTTGCTTAAGGTATATCTTGAATTCGCATGCTTTCTGCAGCAGGATGCTTGCACGATGCTTTGGGATGCTCGCATGAGAGCAAATGGGGCTTCACACGAATAGCTGAGAAGATCGGTTGGACCCATTGAGTGCATGGATGGGCTTGGCCAGTCGCCAAGAAGCATCAAATATTATATAATATGTATAATATATATATAATATAACATTCTATATATATTATGTATATATAATATATTATATTTAAGTCATCCTTTGTAGACCAAGGTGGTCCAAGCACACTTCCGGATCCATGCAAGGCATCTCGGCAGGAAAAGTCTCCCTGGCTTTAGGGGGGAGACCCTATCAATTATTTATGTATATATATATACTTATATATGTATACCCCTTATGGTAACTTAATTCAAGTTCCTCAACAGCAACCCAGAACCCAGCTGAGGTGCCGCTGGCGGGACCTTGGGGAAGCGTTGAGAGGCAAGGAAATGCTCGGAGCCAAGTGAGCGGCTCCTCCAGGTTGCCAAGACAGACCCAGAGAGCCATTCGGTTTAGGGTTTAGGGAATATACCTTAGATGGAGCATGGTGGACCCCCCACCAAGTAATAGTGACTA